CAGTAAATGGTGATTACTATTGGGTGATGTAACAAATAATAAAATTAATTTCCACAATATAAATAAAAACACAATGTAATGTCATCTACATATACAAATGTCAAAGGCAAATTTGTAAGGGGTTTTCTCGCCACAGAGAAAACGATTCCTTACGAATGACGCTGGTTACGGGCGGTTCTCGAGCGCCAGATTTTTGGTGATGGTTTACTCCACGAACTTTCGAAACGGCGTCGAAAGTACTCGGGTAGCTACAGATGGAGATGAAAAATTCCAGGGGTCAAAGGTCACTTAGACACAGGTAATAGTAGGACACAAGTAACGGGCTTTAATCGTTGCTTGGGCTGGTACAGAATTAATCACTAGCTGAAATATAAGGGGGAAATAAATTTAGGAATTAACAACCAGTAATACGGCCAGTTAACATTGACGCATATATTATTTTAAAGTATTTACAAAAGAAAAGGAATAAATTCATGTATTTCAACGCCCACCCTCACGGTAATATGTACAAACCCTGAACAAAAATAAACAAACAAAACGGACGGAAATGACTTTCGAGTAGTCTCAATCAGACGTAAAGAAAAAAAATGAAATCAATACTTGTAATTATCACGGTCGCAGTAAAAGTTTATTATTGAATGGTCTATTCTGTTGTTGAGTTAAAAATGTAACTTGCTATTTCGTTCGGAAGTATTATTTCGGTCGTAGCAAAAATTAACTGTTAAATTGTCTAATCGGTATTTACAATCAAATGTAATTGAATGCTTCGGTAAAGCAAAATATCATATGCGGTTGCAGAGAATGCGAGGAGACAGGTTCGGGACAATACTAATTCCAGGGCTGAAACCGGGACCCTATAAGAGGTTTACTCACTAGTGGAAAGTAAAACCAACTAACAACCGGGATAGTACATTATCTCTGAGTGAAGCGATCGTAATCACGAGCCGCTTCAAACTGGGGAATGATACTATTTAATGTCAATTAAATAACGAAGTTTTACATAAAAATAAATTTAATAACCGGGATAGCACGTTACCTCTGAATGAGGCGATCGTAATCACGAGCCGCTTCAGACAGGAGAATTATACTATTTGAATTCACTTACAATAACGGAGACTAACGCAAATGAGGGTTTCAGACGGAAAATAAACTAATAACCGGGATAGCACATTATCTCTGAATTAGACGATCGTAATCACGAGCCGCTTCAGACAGGGGAATGATACTATTTTAGTTCTGTTAAAATAGACTTACGCAAATGAATTTTTAGATATAAAATGAACTAATAGCCGGGATAACACCTTATCTCTGGATGAAGCGATCGTAATCACGAGCCGCTTCAAACTGGGAATGATGCTATTTAAATTCTCTTAACATTTGCAGTTCGGAGGATAAAACAAAAGAAAATGCCTCGTCGCAATTCTACAAATATAACCAATCAAAACATTAGACAATTCCCAAACAGTTCCAATCAATTATTTATTGGATAATGTTTTTAATAAACTGTATTATTTGTTCACGGAAATTTCCCGCAGTAGGAAAAATTAACTATAAGACTATATTTACGATTAAATGAAAAATAAATTATTTAACGGTTAAGACTTCAAATAAACTAAAATGAAATTTATAATTTATTCACATAAATTTCCAGTAGTAGGAAAAATTAACTATACGACTATATCTACGATCGAATGAAAAATAAATTGTTTAACGGTTAAGATTTTAAATAAACTAAAATGAAATTTATTGTTTATTCGCGGAAATTTCCAGTAGTAGGAAAAATTAACTATACGACTATATTTACAATCAAATGAAAAATAAATTATTTAACGGTTGAAACTTTAAATAACCTAAAATGAAATTTATAAAGAACGGTGTATTCTAACAAGAACAAATTAAACTATTTCTTAATCAAAACAAATTCCAATTCCTAACTCAACACGGAATATTGTTATTTTAAAAATAAATCAAATTAAATCGGTTTCAAATAGCACGGCTTAAAGTCTCGGACAAGAAAAAAATATATAAAAACAATGGCAACAAACTTTACCTAGCGGTAAAATCGCGGCTTGAAATAAATTTCGGAAATGTATCTATCGTGTTAATTACTCGACTATTAGATTTGACGGTGTAAAAGCAAGTCTGTTCGATAAATCGGTATATTAGGAACTAAAAATTTTATTTCAATCTCGGAGCTCATTCAGTCGTCGCTTGCCCTTCCACTACCAGTAAATCCCACCATTAAAACGCGCGCACGTAGAGTATCTCGACGATTTTTGAACAGCGATAAAACTGATGATATACAGAGCATATCCACGAAGTTAAAATTAAGTAAAAATCGAAATTAATACCCGGAATTAGTTAAAAAATAATAATAATGAAAATGGACTTCATTACACTTATGGAGAAAGTTGTGTTACTAATTTCATGTAGTGTCATCTCCTACTTCCCACCTCCCTGGTCGATACACTTGTTAAACTGACATTTCTTATACAAAACTTTATGAATTTCCCATTTTATCGTGAAGAGTTTCATCAATTTTTATGAAGAAATTGATGAATTTCTCCACAAATGTAAAATCATTTTTATCGTGAAGAATTTCTTCAATTTATTCGTGAGGTTCTTCATTAATATAAAGCTTGAAAAAACTTGTTACTTTCTTTTTGATTTCTACAATGTCAATTGTACTTAAGAGGTGATTTAGCTCAAATTATTGATACTGCGTGGATTCATAAATTGGCCAGGACAAATGAAATCAGAGTAGTTGGACCGGTTCGCTGGCCAAAGTCTATTTTACGATAAAATGAAAGATATAATACGATAACGACAAAAATGTTAAGAGCCACCTAGTTTTTGAGTAACTTGGAAAACGTATCTGATTTTATATGCCCTGTTTAATTGAGCCCGTCTCTGGTACTTAAAGTTATCTGTATGAGTTCTGGCAAATAAAAGAAAGAGAAAATTTAATACATTTAATAAAAAAAATAAAAAGTTAATGTATACAATATAAAATAATAATTAGTGAGTAAACGTGAAAAAAAAAATAATTAAAATTGACTGATAGATAAAAAAAATGAATTGAATGAAGTTGAATATGTTTTCAATAGGTATAATAGTCTCCACCATTGGCATTATAATACGGTACTTCCCTTTCGTATGGAGCTTGGAGCTCGAAACTTGGAGAAACTACGTAACTCGAACTTGGAGTTTAAAGCTTAGAGTTTCTTGGAGCTTGAAGCTTCTAGGAGCAACTACGTAACTTGGAACTTCTTGGAGCTTAAATCTTAGAGCTTCTTGGAGCCACTATAGGTTTAGAAATAAAAAGAACCTCAGTAACAGTAAAAGTACATATACATGCCAGTTTGGAAATCTAACGGACTTATGCATAAACAGGACAAATATTAAAGTTACACCGTCTGAACAGAATATAAAATATCACGACAAATATTAAAGTTACATCATCTGAACAGAATATAAAATATTTATAAGGCCAAAATAAGTTATAACAATAAGTTTTACATCATCTGAATAAAATATAAGATATTTATGAGGCCAAAATAAGTTAAGAGCCGTAGATTTCCGTTTAAGCTGTATTTCCAGACTAGCTTGTAATTCAATTATTTAGTTGCCTCCCCGCGTATATATCAAAGTATCAAAGAAAGCTTGAAAATATTATTAGTTAGGATAGCTATAATCTATATAAAATAAAATAAAACATAAATAACCGGCATGATGGTAATAAAAAAAGCAAATGGCCGATCCTTTCGGTTTTCAATCGAAATCCAGCAAAATGTTAAAATATAAGGTAAAAGAAACATTGCCTGACAATTATCCCAACGTTAACACACAATAAACAGAGATAAAGGAAGATAACTACGGAAAACTACTCATAGTAGCTAATTATTTATCGGCACAAAACGACAATTGAATGCACACGAATCGGTTTTATCTCGGCGTGGTTGTTCAAAGAAACACACGGTACTTGCGCAAACCGTACTTTGCAAATTTCGAGAAGAAAGCGAGCGGTGGTCGTTTAACTTGTGTTATGAGGGGTTATGGAGAAGTTGTTAAGCTTAATTTATAACCGCCGTAACGTAACTTAAGAACTTAACGTAAGAAGTTGAAATATTGAATTTACGTATACTTATTTATAATGTTCTTAACGTAACTTAAGAACTTAACGTACCGTAGAAAGTTCGCCAACTTTTAACTTAACAACATAACTTAACTTAAGACCTTACGGTTAGCCAATGAGATAATTCTGCGTTCAGCATGTGATAACTGTCAATTATTCTCTTTTCATTTTTTTTTTTATAAATAAATAAATAGAAAAATACCATTTGTAAACTATCATTCTCCTTTTTGATGGACATACATTATCATGAATGATTTGTGTTTATATTATTGGGGATAAACTATCTATGAGATATGAGTGTAGCTGCATAAACCTATAAACATCAAGTCTAGAACTGAAATTAGACACAAAACTTTTTTGCTAGGAAAGATTACATTCTCATTATTGCTCAAAAACAATCAACATCTTCGGTAAACTATTTTGTTTTATTATATTTTTATATTATTGCTTTTAAAGTGTAGTTAATATATTCTTTCTATATAGCAAAATCATAATTTATAAGTTTTATTTAGAGGTTAAGTACATAGTTTACACTTGTTTATTTCATAAGGTTGTCAATAATTTGATAATCTCTGAAATCAACACGCATGCTCAACTCTTACGTTACGGACTTTTATAAATAGACTTTATTTTTATATCTTAGGTTAAGTTTCTACGGCGTTAAGTTAAGTTACGTTACGGTGGTTATAAATTATACTTTAAAAATAAATTTGAAATTAATTTCACGTAACAAACTGCAAACTGAATTTGCATTTAATAGCTAATCTTTAATATTCTGACGTAACATTTTTTGTTTTTTTTTTTATATTTGAACGAAATAGTGGAAGTTTGTTAGTATTGTTTAAAGAACAATTCATTGTTTTAGGCGATGATGGACATAGAGGTGACTGGAATGCTTCAAGAGGTCGAGGAGGACTTGGAGGCCCCGGAAGTACTCCTGGCGGTTTTGGTGGTGGCGGCGGCGGTGGTGGTGCTGGAGGCGGCCCTGGTGGTCCTGGGGGCGGTAGACCACGTCCAGAGAGAAGGAGTTTCTCAGAAGACCTTCCATCTCCTGCTGCAGGTAAGTCGACATTTTTTAAACTTTTGTCAATTTTGTTTGCTCTAATGAATATTTTGTATTTTTTTTTTACTTTTGTGAAATTTCTTTTTATTTAATTTTCTTATTTTTACTCGACCTTTAGTTAATCTAATTTCTAAGTTCATAATAGAAAATTTTTATATTATTATCTAAAAACATTACTCAATTGATGTTCTTAATACACTAGGCTCTAGGGTTTGTCGTGTTTACTTTTTTGACATTGATATTTTGAACTTTCAATCAAGATTAAAATTTCTGGGCGTTAATTTAGAGAATTTTGAATTTAAGAATCGTATAGAATATGCCAAACAAGAAAACTTTCTTCTGGATTGTTTGCAGTCAGAACTGTGGTAAAAGAATTAGGTTTTCAGCCATCTTTAAGTTTATTTTAGAACTTAAGTATCGAGTTAGCATTGCTTCGTTTTATGAACCACAAGAGCAAAAAAATAAATTGATATATATTTGTAAAGCACAAAATTAGCAAAAAATATGCCGCAAACCCGATTCATCTCACAAAAACAGAAATACAACACTTGCCATTGTAGCTTAAGTATCAAGCTAGCATGGCTAATGTTTCTCGGTAACGGCAGGAGCAAAAAAATTAAAAATTGAGTAAAAAAATAACAAAAAATTAGCCAAAAAAAAAATATAGAAATATCTGCGGGCTTGTGACTACCATGCTAGCTTTATAGACATTCTTTTAAAACCCTATTTTATTTTAAATTTTTTATGCTATATGTTAATGTATGTAAAATGTGTATTTTACCATTATTTATTTTACATATGACTTCTTCAATGTCATACCTGTGATGACCACGTTTTTACTGTAGTTCTGTTAAGACAATATTCAATATGACGTCATTGTTTTTGATTTATATCAGTGTAGTCACTCATATTAAAGACATAGTATCTGATTTAAAATCGCCTATATTAAGAATAAACACTGTCTGAGGAAATTATCAATCTTATGTATGTATATGAGAAAGTACATTTAGAAGCCTTAAGGTTCATTGAAGGATATGAAGCTACTTTGAGAATACCCACAAAGCAAGTAAATATTTCAGAGACTCCTCAGTGGTTACAAACACGTTTGAATAGTTCATTAATTAACCCTGTACAAGATTTATGGGCGCAGATAAAACTGTAGTTTCATGCCCTTTTTGAAGTAATCCTATGCATGAATGTGACACGAACATAATTGATTATTCTCCGTATTAATTGTTCCAGTTTTGCGATAAAATAGTATATTTAAATTTACTAATTTAAAAAAATGATATTTCGTGTACTTACACTTAAATAGTTTCTGTTCACATGTACCTATTTTATTTCACATAATAAGAGAAGAGATGGTAGGAGTAATTTAATGAAGTATTTTTAATCTATATTCTGTACTCATGTTCTGTACTTATCTTATGACTAGGGTAGGCATTTTGTCACAAAATACCTATAACTTATAGGATTATTCACCTGAAACCTTCATATTTGTAAACAAATATATTACAAAATAAACCAGAAAGCTTAAGTAACTAAATAAAACCTAAAAAAAGGAAAATATCGAATTTCAAACACTATTTCCCATATAATGCTAATAAATCTACGTCCCACGTGACGTCACCGATAGTCAGTTGCATTCGCAAGAACATACCGCGAATCTGTGTATCGTGGAAGTAACTTTTTTGTTTGTAAATATTTTCTGTATATTAATATCCATATACTCCTGTTTCTGTAATTGGTTGATGTACTGTCGTCGGGTCTCGCTCGGGTGAAGGTCGTTTATTTGCCCTGACCCCGCTCTTTCGTTAAGAAGGGGTCGTGAGGGAGATATGGCCGTACTGGTGGATAATTCAGAGAGCGTAGTGAACTCCCCGAAATCACCAACACTGTGAACCACTTCACCAGGGAAACTTCCCCCTGACCTACATTTGCCGTGTGTAGGCCGACGCTCGATGGGGGTATATAGTGATTGGAGTCCCAATTCAAACGAATTGGGTACTCTCAGGGTAGGTTCGGGCCCAGACGGCGGGGATTTGGCAAACCGTCGGATTGTGTCGTTACTTTGAAAGTTGTGAAAATCATTTAAATTTATAGCCGAGTTCGGCTGTCTCCACAAAGTGACATTTTGCTCTGGGGCGGGAGTAACCGGGGAAAAGCCATAAAACTCTCCCCGTGTACCGTGCCCTGAAGGAAATGCCCTTCTGAGGTCAGCGGTGAAATTATCTGGATTGTGTTGCATTTTTGTAATAAGTTAAAATGAATTGAAATGATTTTAAAGTATATTAAGTTAGTTAACTAAGTGACGTTAAAGGTTCTAAACTAATTAATTTATTTAAATAAAAAAAAAATAAATAAAAAAATAAAAAATAATAATAATAAAAGCCTCCCTCAGTCAAGCGGGTTCGATTGGGGAAGGTGAATGTCGATTAGCAAGTAACCGACAATCATTAGGATAGGATATAAATAATAATTAATTAAATAAAAAGAAATGAGCCACTTTACTATAACGAGGCGTCTCCAAATGGCTGTAAAATAAACAAACAAACAATGTCAAGGTAGTTCGCCAGAGAAAGTTAAAAGCTCGAAATGAAAACAAACAAAGCCAGAGGTCCTTACCAACCAACAATATTATTGACAAATGACACTATAAATAAATGGCTGCGACCCTTGACACCTGTCAGTCCGACCTGTGAAAAGAAGAAAATCCGTTACAGGTTCCGCGCCTAAAAATGCCGGCAAGCGGGAGGGAAAATGGTGGGAAATTGAATGGTGACAGCCCTATCACTTTTAAATGGGTAACGACGTACTCCTCGTCTCCCACGTAATTAGAACAGACTCACCCAGTGTAATTATCCCACGGAGTGGCGCTAAAGAGGATCGCAAGGGAATAGACGGGAATGTGCTAACACCGGTTTATTTCCCAACCACTTCGCTAGAATCCTCTCTTTCCTTAGTAAGCCCTTATGCCGATCGACTCAGATAGTTGTGGGGTGATGATTTTAAAACTTGAAGTAATCCTTTTGCTAATGATGCACTACCGGCACAAAAATCGAATTTTTCACTATATTCGCGGCGAGAGAACTACCCACGAGAAAAGTTAAAAATCTACTGCCTGTTTTTGCGGGAAACGCTTATATTTATGTCTCTAATTCCTGGTTCCGCCCATAGGTAAAACAATTACGTAATTGACTAAAGCTCTTTGGAATCGTTTGAAATTTGCAAGGGCTGTATATTTGATATTTAGGATTAAATAATAATGAAAAATCGATTAGAGGATAAAGTACTTTTTAGAAATCTAGAAGAGTTGTACGTGGGTGTGAAATATTAATATGACATAATTTGGACACGCAAATTACTTTGGATTTTTGTGATGTCTGAAATATTTCTGCGTATGTAGGTATTTTATTCGGGTATAAATGAAATACGGAAATATGAATGTTCGAAGTTGTTCCCACGAGAAAGAGTAACTAGTCTCCAAACTTTAGGATTACTTCGTGATTGATTATTTAGTAACAATTTTATATTAAAAATTAAAATAACCGTACAGGCGTTCGAGTACGAATGTCAGATGTAAAACCACAAGTACTTGTGTCGACGTAAGAGTGACTATATGTGTGATTGCAAAAATTTGTGTTTGCGGATTCGGTTAAATTGGGGTACATGTATGGTGTCCATACACATAGGGTATCGTTGCGGAGCTGCAATTCGGGTAAGAATTGGATCGGCGGTACGGGACCCTATGACAATACCTATATATTCATAAACCTCTAACCTCACAAAACGTGACAAAAGAACTACTTCAAAATGCTTGGCTGATAGTATCCTTGAATGAAGATCAAAGTTTTTGTATAGCTGCTTTAGAATTCAGGTGGATCCAGCGTTTTGCAGATCCTAACTTAATGTATTTTTTTATTTCCTAGCAGTGTTAAGACATATTTCCGACTATTTTTCCTTTGGGGTTGATAAACACCCTATTTGAACCTACAAGCTGTTCTCTTTTACATAATATTAAAAGTGTTATTTGTATACAGCTTTTGATAAAAAAAAAATACAATATATATTTTGATTCCTAGGAAACGAGATATTAGATTCCGACTATTTTCTCTTTAGGGTTTATATACAACTATTTTGAACCTGTAAGTCATTCTCTTTTACATATATGAAAAGTGGTATTTCTACCTAGCTTTTGGTAGGAAACAAGTATATTTTTAAAATAATTTGAAAATTCGGAAACAAATCTCAAAAATCCACCTACGAATCTCAAATTTTCAAATTCCTCTATAAGAACGAACCTGAAACGGCGTTTGGCCCGAATTAGCACATCAATCTGCCGGCTAGGAATCTCGATAGTCAATGTCGCGATGGTATAGAGGTAGGGCATTTGTGTACAGAACAAAGATGACTGGGGTCGAATCCCAGCGTTGAACAGGCTTTTTTTCTTCAAATCTCCAAGTATATGTTTTGAACTTTGGAGTTTGGAGATCGTCTTAATATTTCGAAGGGGAACTTTTGAGATTTGTTTCCAAATTTTTCTGCAACTTATTTTAGATCATTGTGACCTTCCGGATTTCTATTTGCGATCTACGATACATTAAATTCAGAATTTTCAAATATATTTTTATGTCTAAGAACTGTAATTTGATTCTGAGTATTCTTCATTTGAATTTGATCACCCTATTATTTGAACATGCAAGTCGTTTTCTTTTAGATATAGACTGTCAGATAGTAACAAATTTAGGTGCCCATTTTAGCATACAAGCCTCGAAGATGGTTGAAAAGTACATCGATGTTGAATAGAATGAAAGGAAATTTATAAGTGGTTCTTGGGGATAACACATGGAAATTTAGATTTTCCTTAGCAGAAATATTTTCCGACCCCGAAATGCGCTTATCCATTCAGGTCATTCAAGTCAGTACGTTTTTTTGACTAGTCACGATGTACGTTTTCATACATTCGATGGGTTTGTGTGGAAAAATCGGTTAAAATCTCGATTTTTCCTTACATTATGTCCTTATTTCATGCCTCTAGTCACTTGCAACATTAAAACCTTTGGTTAATCATTTAGTGAATATGGCTTGCGTGAAATGTGGGCAACAAATATCTTTAATATCTGTTAAGGAAAATCGAATTTTCCATGTTATCCCCAGGAGCCACTTGTAAATATCCTTTCATTCTACTCAAAATCGAAGTTTATATTCCAAAATGGGGCACCTAAACCTGTTACTATCTGACTATCTTAATATATTAAAAGTGATATTTGTACCAAATCTCTTTTGCCCATGGGTCACTGGTTACCGACTTCTATTCTAGATGAATGATCTCATTTATCTTAGTTTGTCCATTTTTTACTTAATCCTTTTTATTTTATTTTTTTATTTGATTTATTTACGGAAAAACTCTTTTTACAAAATAATTATTATCAGTAGATATTTTAAACCTAACCTAAAGTATCACACAAAAAAGAAAAAAAACTTAAATATCACAAAGAGGAATTAAATAAAAACTGTAGTGGTTTGGAAAGAGTGAATTTACATTTTTTCAAAAAATAAGCAGGGATTCAATCTGGACCATAACTCAATTTATTTTTTAGGGAGTTAATACCATCATAAACATAACTTAAGGAAAACTGTATAAAGGGAATACCAGGCTGGTTAAAAGCATTATAATGAAGGTTTGGCTCATCTACAATATCTTTCTTATAAACACTGGAGAAATGAAATGCATAGTAAACAAATTACTTTCCCATTATCTGTAATTGTACCATTATAATACATTCTATTGGGAATACCACGGCTTTGTTGCAAAGAATTAATGTGGTTCTAGAAGTATTTTGTATTTTCACAATATAATTTTCATAATTTAGTTTTGATAAATTTTTACATTGAGACCGAAGGTTAGAAAAATTTAAGTAATCAACAGCTGAGCGAGTACTTTTGAATATAGCATGAGCTGCCTTCTTGCGAGAAATCAACTTCTTAAGTTCAGCTGAAAACCATCTAGGGTATACTGATGGTTTATATCTCCTAACAGGTACAAATAAAGATAATGCCAATTTTAAAATCTGATAAAAAATTTCAACACTAACATTAATATCATTATTGACTAAAATACCCTCCCAATTAATTGAAGCAAAATAATTATTTAAAGCTACATAATCCGCTTCTTTAAAGTCATAAAAAACAATGTCACAAGACAAGGGACTAATATCACTGACAGTTAATTCACATGAAATTGCAACATGGTGGAAGTTATTAGCATAGATATATAACCAAGACAGATAGGATTATTTACAAAAATTTTGAAGAATGAACGGTGGTGTCCGCGGTAGAAACTCAATAATCGGATTGAACATTGATGCCAAGTTTACGTGCTTTTAACTATAGATATATATAACCAATACAGATTACACAATTTCTGAAGTCAACGCGGATGATCCTCGACAGAAATGCAATATTTGGATAAAATTAAAATATTGATGCCAAGTTTGTGATGTTTTTAACTGTAGTAATGTTATTGCGTTTGCTTGAATTACTGTTAGGTCTTTAAATTGTCAAAAAAAAAAAAATAATGTCTGACAACAGCGGAAGTAGAGTAGACCGCAATTGTGGAGGGTCGTATATTGTTTCATTCATAAAAATTCCTTCGATACAGTACTAGTCCAGGAGCCAGTGAATTTTTTCGTACTTGTTTTCCAGGTCCGTGTATATTTAAATAATCTATTCCCGGTGAACTGTATATTTAAAATGGAACGCCAATCTATTAACAAATGTAAGCCAGATTGAATTCGCGCATTACGTCACATCGATACAAGTGAGATTGTTTACAAAGTGCCTTTGCAGGCCTATTTTGCCCATTTCATGTATTTGTTTTTAAATCATGTTAAATTACTATTTTTGAAACTCAACAAGGAGAAAATCCAATTAACTCTTCCGTTGTGTACGTATATAAGATAAATTAACTTAAGTTTTATTAGTAAAGTATTAATACTAAAATTTTAATGTAATTTACAGAAAATAGCTAGGTATGTATTTGTTTTTAAATAATTTGATAATTTATGAAAAAAGGGAGTAAAAGTGGAATGACCAGTGGCCAGTAGGTCAGTCAATACAAAGTATCATATATTTCTATTATAACAACTAAAATACCTACATCTTTTAATCATAAGGACATAAGTTAAAAACCATTTTAATATATGCATTAGAATGAAGTAATAATAACTTAAAGAGACGAGGTCTTAAAGTAGTAGCTGGTACAGCATGTTTTTTAAACGTTTCCTCATTGCTGCTAGAATTAAATCACTTACTATGAAATGTGCTCTAAAAACGGCGTTTATAGCAGTCAGTGTTCAGTCTTAGGATCTCTTCCTAAAGCCCTCATCCAAGCTGCATACATATTAAAAAAATAATTAAAAAAAAAAAACATATTATGTACCTATATAGTTTTCGGTTCTGGGTGCCTTAAAAGAGGACACTTAGCCGACAATTTGGCTCAGATAGCTAAAACCCAAAAGTCACACCCCGAACCAGGACGTATTGCTATCCTTTTAAGTAAAAAATAACTACAAATAACTTACCTGAAAAATGAAGGCGTTTAACTTTACACCAAAAAAATCATACACTTTTTCCCATTGTTGCAAGCACCCGATGACGATTAGGTAGATATCAACTAGAAGCATGTACTTAATGGTTATAAAGCTTATTTTAACACAAAAAGAATAAAGCACTAGTCGAAACGCAGCAATCAAATATAAATAGACCATAATATTAAAATTCAAATTAAAAACTATATAAAAGACAAATACTCTAAAAACGCAAAAGATCAGAACCAAATAAAATGAATAACCATAATAACCTAAAAATCACACTAAAATTGCAAAAACTATTACTGTAAAATCATGAGATTACATCAATAATGCATATGCGTCGGAGTATCGAAAATGTCAAAAGTACAGTGTTTCCATGAAAATGTAGCTATGTTTTTAGCAGTATTATAGGACCATTTCTACCACGCGCATCCAACGATATTGGCGTTCCACAGTTCACTGTATTTTCCTCACACCTCTAGTATAAATTATAATTAATGTAGAGTAATAAGTGATTCGTGAATTCTAAATAAAACAATTATTATATAAAAGTGTAAAAGGAAATGTAATTTATTTCCCTATTTTCTTCTGTAATATCTTCAATTATTATGTTTAATTTCTATAAATAAACCAACTGGTTAGGTGAAACATTGTGATATAAGATTTTATTTATGTGTCCTATGCGTACACTTTAATATACAAAACACCTGGAATATTCTTTAAATAATTGTGGTCGTAGAAATAATTGTGGTCGTAGAAATAATTGTGTACATAACTCGTTTGAAAGTGTATTTTATGCACTTGCCAAATATATTATCCATACAGATTAATCAGACTATTTTTTTACTTAACTTCAGTACATTTCTTACTACTAAAACTATTTTTATCAATGGAAAAAAAGGGCCGTGTTCTCGTATGTTTTGACGCATTTTCGGCCTCAGCCCATCGGATCCCCCCCTATAAATATATATGAATTTTGCTTAGAATTGCTAATCCTACAATTCTCTATTCGTGCTTGCTGACTGGGAAAATAAATACCGAAAATCGTCACTGTCTCCTGGACTATACAATAGATGATGATGAGAACTTCACAACAAATACACTTTTATGAATGGCTAGTTGGGGATGTGGTTATTAGGCAATAAGGTGTTTACAGCTGTCTCGATAGTAACCGAATTCCTAGCGTCATTGTTACAAAAACATAAGTCGAGGAATATACCGTGCTGATTTGGAATTCCATTGACCTGGCTCAAATTCAAGTAGGAAAAACTCTCACTAATTATTACGGCTGGATATTCTGCAGGGCAAGAGACAGAGAGACCATCATCGTACGAATAATTCCATGTAGCATGTGGAAGATTATAGTTCCCAAAAAGGTATAGCTTATTGTTAGGGTTGTTTTCCACTATATGCTCAATAGCAGAACAATGATCAATATAAGCATCATGATTTAACCCTGGTGGAATGTAGACAGCGCCAAAAATAATAGTTTCATTATTGATCAACAATGAAACAAATATGTTCACACATGCAGCAGACAACACACTACCTTTGCTTTATTAAATTGTGGCTTGCTCAGTGAGCACCCTTTATAGTATACATACGATGAGTTTGGAGTACTTTGAACTAAAGTCAGATTTTTTTTTTTAGATACCACTGGTAGGCCGAAACTAAAGCTGTTACCGAGGACGGTGAAAGCGCCTATAAATGCAATGGCGTCTTCAGAAAAGAGTGTATCGATTTTCGGAGGTGGAAAACCAAGGGAAGAGAAACCCGCCTCTGGGGGAGAGGAGGAGAGTAAAGATGTTTAATTTGTGTGTCTCTTGTTTATTTTTTTTTTATTAAGTTATTGTAAAAATAATAATTTTACATTTACGCAGAATGTAACCCTAATAAAAAAGTACGTGCGGGATTTTTTCTAAAAACAAAAAGAACTTAGGTCTGCATATTCATTGTTTTTTGTTTTGTTTTTAATTTTCTTTAATAACATTAAGTTCGGGAGAGATTTATTTGAAGAGATGTTTCAGATTGTATGTAACGAATTTTTACGGCTGCATTTTATTGTGTTATTTAGGAAAACAGGTGTTCCTGGTTATCTTAAAAACAAAAGAAAAAACCACCACTATAGATTTCTTAATTATTATTTCTTTTTTCTAATCGTGATTCTCTCAAAGCATACTAGGGTAGTTACGAGTGATGTTGCAATCAGTTTAAAAATTAAGGATTTATAGTGATACATCGAAAACATTTTTGAACAGTTAAATTTTTTGTTATATTTTAGATAGATTACCCTTTGTATTACAAAATTAGGCAGAAAAACGATTTTGTACAGGGTAGTGCAAACACGTTCATTGCTAAATAATGAAAATTTACACTATCCTGTATAGCAAATTATTATTTATTCGATTATACTACTATTTGCTTTATAGTTATAATTTTGTAAATATCAGTAATTATTTGCATTAAATTGAGTAGATTTTGGCAACAAAACGGATGTTTTTGTAAATAATATTTTTTTCATCACATTTGTTTATACGGTTTATAATTGGCTAGACGTTATGATCATTGTAGTGTCCCAATCAAAAATTATTTCGTGATAACTGATATTAAATAGGTATTTTTTTTTAGAATCGATGCAAAATTGTATTTAAATATGCAGTTATATGTAGATAATTTACTTCTTGATACTCAATGAAGCATTTTATGGTAGAATTGTTAAGTTTGTTATTAAAAAACATGAAACATATTCTATTCTTCTGTTAAATTAATACGTATGATCGACTTATTTAATATCTCTCATAAAATTAATTTCATAACGCTTCTACAATTACAACCTGTATATACAAAATTTCTAAAAATACGATAAAGTTAGATGACGCCTTTTCTACAGAATGATTTTACATTCTATTTCTATACTTAGAGAAGAAACCATTTTGATGTCTAGGATGATTGTTGAAGACGCTTAACTTTTTTTATAAAGGTGGCATTTGAGATCGCCCTAACCGAGACATTGTCGTTACGTTTCATACATTTGGCAAATAACATCTACTGCATCAAGAGAACTAGGCATTCAGTATATATCAATGAAAGCACTTCAAAATAGAGGTGGGCCATTCGATTTAATTCGAAATAAAAAGAAAGAATTGTTGAGCTAGTCGAGTGGCCGAACTAGACACTAGTCGTTTTCTTTTTACAGGTATACTTGACTAACTAAAGGTTAGATTCTGATTTAAACTAAGTTGTAAAAAGAACGCGAATTTTGGTTGACAGGTGACGTGTCCCATGTCATCCGTTTACAAACAATCGACATTTTTATCTATACATTCAACACTACGATCTTACCCCCTGTTATCATAGTCTTTTAATCTCTCTAAGATAATGAATTCATGGGATATGTTTGTTCGTATAATGCACAAAACACTCACTTTCTGTTATGGTTTATGGTTGACGTCCAGATCCGTGTACCTTAGCATCGGAAAGGGGGGACGAAAGATTCTGACTTACAATCACAAAAAGAACATATAACTAAGCTTAGTCGATGTAAATTAGCTTAGATTAGTGGTAAAAAGAAAACGACTGTTGTTTAACACTTGCGTACGGTAATATTGACGATTCGCGTATTAGACAATATCCTTATTTCATATATACCATAATGTACTTACATCTAGTGTTTATTATTTCGCACTATCATACTAATTCGATTTGAAATATTCGATCAGTGGTATCTTTTACTACCAACATGTTAAAGTAAAATATAGCAACCAACACTTTTGTTTTTGCGCTAATTTTCCTAGTCAAATTCATCATTATTATAGAGCAATAAATAAAATATTGAGAGATCAAATATCAAGAATTTTCGAATCGGATGAACGAATTTTTTCAAATCAGATGATTTGTTTTATCTGTATCAGCACATTGATCCGTATAATTTATATGAATTATATGGATTCGATCCATTTTTTGTTTTATATATCGCCTAGTGAGAACATTAGTGACCTAACTCCGAATATGTTGATCTAAGATAAACGTGGTTAAAGTTTGTACGAAAATTATTATTATTTTTTTTTTTTTTTTGACTATACGTTTGGAGCTATCTTACCGATTTTTTCTCTCTAAATTTTAAATATTTAAATAAAGTTATAATGTAACAGATTTTTTTTTAAGTAAATGAATATTAATAATGTTACATTCGTCAGTATTGCCTTCGAAGGGGAAAATAAAAATACCAAGCATTACACAACTACAGCCACCGAGCGGACAGTAGTAGAACTATAATTTCGCCAGTTATGTACCAGTTGCGGGCTACATTAAGCAATTTTTTGAAGTACACAAGTCAAAAACGTGTATTTTTGAGTTACGTCACTGATGTTCTCACTAAACGATATAATTAGTAGAATATTTTTTTCGTTTTCAATATCCAAATGCCCCTGGATTCTATAAAATACCCAAACAACCTCACCATGGGTAATTCAGAATAAAAACAAAAAGTAAGGAAATGATGGTCTAAAAGCCAGACACAAACCTTGCAGTTTCCTTATGAAGACATCCTAAAAAAATAAAACGAAACACTGGGTAGATAGTGCAAGCTAAGCCCATAAAGAAAAGAAGAAGAAAAAACGTTTTCGAATTTTATTAAAATAAACGCGTGAAAAAATTACCAAAAAAAAATCCAAAGGTTCGAAATATTTCACAAATAATTTGTCTAAAAAAAAAAAAAATACAAATATTGTTCCTGAAAAAACATCCAACTATGGGAAAATGAAGGTCTGTTCTAACAACGATTAGAAACCAGTCACTGACACGAAGATTCTGCGCAGTAGATTATTGAGACCGCCAAATTATCTACTGTGCAGAATCCTGGTGTCGGTAACTGGTTTGTGATCGTTGTTGGAACATACCTTTAGTGTAAGAGTACTCTTTCACGATGAGGCCTTGCGGCGAATATCACTCGACTAAAAATATAACGAATCATGTCAAAAGCGAGAGCAGTGTTGCAAGACATACCATAATTACCTACATATGAAATAATGATAAAATTCATGAAATCTTTAAAAGTGTATAGACAAAAACAATTGGGAGATCAAAATCAGAAAGTATTACATCATTACAAGAAAAATAAATTATTTTTTAAACTTAAGTTGAACAAGAATAGATTATTTTTTCTTTATGAGAAAAAGAAAGATGATTTCTACAGCATTGTACTATTTTGATCGTCTGGCAACACTGGTGATGAAGCAGTCGACTCGCTATTGAGCAGGAGAGTGTAGAAGCGCTCTCATGAGTTCGAGAATAGGGTACCTGCATGGAGATTTAAGTGTGTGTCTTCTATGCCCTTGTCGGGTGGATTAGTCCAAAAATTACTTGTCATGAAAAGTCCCATCATTACTTTATTTGCTATATATTTGTTTCTGATCTCTCCCACGTTTTTGAACATTGTACTAGTGCACATTAGTTTAAAATGTCAAAAATACGAATTACTGATACAGCAAAATATTTGGGCATTAGTTTGGACACATGGATGCGCTGGAGAGTCTATGTAAAAAAAAAAAGAAAAAAAGAGCAATTGTAAAATTGGCTGCGTACATACTTACTGCCCAAACTACCCTCTTGATAATGCGAAGACACTCTGCCAATTGCCTTTCTGTTGCGTATTTCCAAATTTTCACGTAATACGCTTGTTTAATGTGATGTCATTTTGGTTCCATTGACATTTAATTCTAACCAAACATTTAGCACAAACATCAATACATTTGACTTATACGTTTTTACTGTATTTAGTTTATTTCAAAATATTGCTTACAGGTCATAAAAAATAGTTTAAAAGGTATGTAATTGGTAACTAAATGATTGTATATTTGATGCATGTTATCTACTTACATTAGGAAAATATTTATAAAAGTGTAAAAATGATATAATTTATGTAAACAAAACGAACAAAATGCACTCAAAAATCTACTGTCACTTTAATTGTCAGTGGAACCGTAATTACATCATCAATAAACTAGCTTATGCATATTATTGAGACATGAAGTAATGTGTCACATGCCTCGGTTGCGCTTTCCCAATTGCCACATTAGGTTAACAAATCTGGAGGGCTTAGATAGAGAATATAACACAAAAATTTACGTATACAGTGTGTACATAAAGCATATTCATTTTTAAGAACATGTTTGAAACGGGTTGATTTTTAATTTCCATTTGTCACATTTTGAACAAAAAGTTGTTTATACATAGTTATGTCCATGTGAGTAATGCCGTCAAAGTTATTTTTTTTTAAATTGGTCCCTCTATACATTTAATTGTTGGAATGTTAAGTACCTGGCTTTAGGGGGATAGATCAGCACACCAGGTAATAATACACGAAAGTTTGCTTTATAACATGAGTGTATTTTAGAAAAACATGGCTACAATTTAATATTACAGAAAGTTACGTCTTTTACTAAAATAAAGACAAACTATCAATAATAATAATCTTTATTTTCAAAAATAATGTTGACAATGTATAAACATATACAGTGAGCACCATAAGTCTTACCCCCCTATCTAACTCATTACTGAAGTCTTGTTAGGAAAATTGCCGAGACAGGTCGATTTTTGATTTCTACAATGTACATTTTTGTATGATTAGTTTACCCTTAATTTCATCCCTTACTGGAGGGGAGCAACCCTTTCGAAAAATTTAAATGGCATGGGGTGGTGAGTGATAGCTCATTTGAAAGGGGGTTTTATTCTCTATTTAACCGTGCAAAAAAAATTGAAATTTGCTTCATTACGTGTTGATTTATTAATGTTTAAAAATAACAAAACCTCACAAAATAGGAAAGCAACTAAACTAACAGTGACCTTCTAATGGCAAAAAGTCTTACTTCACGTCTGAACCAAAACCGAAATCATGCAGGGCCGAATTTTAATTCTAAGGATAAGTGCGCTACGTTAATTTCCGTTATTCTGAAACAACAATTAGTCGAGAATTAATGAAGCAAATTTCAAAATTTTTTACACGGTTGAATAGAGAATAAAACTCTTTCAAATGAGCTATCACTCACCACCCCATGCCATTTAAATTTTTCGAAAGGATTGCTCCCCTCTAGTAAGGGATGAAATTAAGGGTAAACTATTCATACAAAATTGTACATTGTAGAAAACAAAAATCGACGTGTCTCGGCGATTTTCCTAACAAGACTCCAGTAATGAGTTAGATAGGGGGGGTAAGACTTATGGTGCTCACTGTATAACATTATAGTGAAATGACGTCAAAAATTTACTATATAATGAGAAATTTTGTCATCGATATTTTTTGAATGTCAAATCCATTTTACATTACGGAAATAGGAATAGTTTCTCACACTATAAGTTTTGTATAGTCACATTGACTTATTAAAAAAAAAAGATTTGTCAGAAGTAATTTTGTTAATTGTTTTATATTGAGATAAAAGACATCCATTATCAAATGAAAGCACGTTTCGCTAGGGACGAACTTCTAATTACGTCAATGTGACAATGCAAAACATACTGGGTGAGAAACTATTCGTAACTTTTCATGACGATTCTAAAAATTGAATAATATAGGGATTCCATTTAAAAAAATTATCTCTGACGTCATTAATCATTCTGTATATACAGTTCGCATAATTTGAGAGCGATTGGCAGATTTCATTTTTCTAAAAAATTATAATAAACAAAATAGAGCCATTATAAAAAAAATCAAAGAGCAGGTCCTACCCTGAGCGCGTAGCGCAATAGTCCTCAAAAACAGATGCGATTTGTAATTTTGTCGATTCTAAGCGTAGCGCGCGCGAGTCGAGGCGATCCTATCGCTGTGCAGGACCGTACCTGTTTATAATTTTTAAATAATTTTTAATTATTTTTATTTTAAATATTTTGGAAAAATGAAATCTGCGAATCGGTCTCAAATTATGCGAACTACCACCCCTACAAATTTGGACGCCAAGTTCGGAAACACCCTGTATAACCTTTTGTTCAAAATATGGCAAAATGAAATTAAAAACCGATATCTTTCGAGAATTTTCTTAAAAATGAAATTATTCTATACTTTACAGACGCAATGTATAGAATTCCTGTTGAAACATTTGAAACAACTTCTAGTCTAAGATCCGAAATAAGGTCGACCTTCACCCATCTGTTTACCGGATGAAAGTATCTTTTTATTAAATAAAATATATTTATAAATATATCGCAAAATGGTTGCCTAAGATAATACGGTCCAGAGTATTTATTTTCTAAAAATAAAAAAAACAACACCCTGTAAAGTATTTCACAGATGCGTCGATTATGCCCAAACCTTAATCAGCTCACCGCAGGATAGATTAAAGCCTAAGTTTAAAATTTGGTGTTTTTCTCTTTATCCGTTTTTGAGTTGTCTTCAAAATTCGAAATTTACAATTTTTCTTAAATATCTCGAATTAGGTCCATTTTAGGGAAATCATGTATAGGGACAAAATAATAGAGAATGACATCATAAGCAACTTTTATCATGATTCTTATACTTTTTTTAGGCAACCCATTTGCGGTATATTTAAAAACATATTTTATTTAATAAAAAGAAACTTTCATCCGGTAAACAGATGGGTGAAGGTCGACCTTACTTACGGATCCTGGACCATTCAGACATATTTGTTCTGTTAAAGCCTTCAGCATTGGTCTCTGAGAACTATTAAAGATCTAACAACCATATTCTGATTCTCATTAATATTGTTATAGGCCTACAAACACTATGCCAATTTCAAGATGTCATTTGTTAAATACAAGTGTAAATACCCAGGCCTAGGCATATTTATGTTTTAAAACAATTTAGAATGCAGGACTGGATACCTTTGGCACAATAATCATGTAAATATTGTTTTACCATTAGGGACGCTAAGTTAGCATCTTCAAAAAATGTTGGACTATTTCTACTTCTGACGTACTAAAGTGCAAAAAATTGTTTTTTATTTTTATG